ATCACTAATTTTTTTTAGTCGACTCATTTTATTTGCCATGCTCTATCTGGATCCTGTATGAGTTAAGAAAGTAAAAGGAAATGTGCCGCTGATAAAACAGTTGCAGATAACTTTTGGTACATTACCTGCATCTCGTTGATAAATAGATTTTATTATTGAGAAATCGAGATGAAAAGTCAAAACCAACAAGTCAGAATCTCATCAAGAGTGAAAACAGAAGCAAAGAAAACAACAAATCGGTCTTGGGTGAAACTAAGCGCTGGGTTCCGAAAGGTTTTAGGAGCTGAGTGTACAGGAGGTGAGAAGACATGAGTTACAATTCCTATACAGTGTTAATGTGAGGAAGGGAAAAGTGCAAGGAACAACTGATTTCCAGCTTTGACAAAATAAAGGAAGAAAAATAGATTTCCTTCTGCGTATAAAGCTATAATACTGCAAGTTCACAGAACCAATGGATGTTAATTTTCATTGCATTATTGCAGCATCCAAGGTAATTCCTTCTTTAATTCAATAATTCTAATATTACTGGGATACACTTCTTATAGTTTCTATAACAAAATAATAACTGAAAGCAAAACACCAGGAGATAAGCAAAATGATACAAAAGGTGCCACAACTGCAGACAAATTATCCCTGAACCTTATATCCAGCATATTTAAGAAAACTAAAAGTTCCCATATTTCTGAGTGGCCTAATACAGACAATTTTCTGCCAGCAGCATATTTTACCAAGACCTAGCCAGTTTCCAGCTCCATGCCATGTCTGGAAGCCTTGCAGCTTAATCAAGGTGGCCAACTAGTAGCAGGCCTGTGTGTCATCAAAATGGACTTTCCATTCTCCAAGACTGCAGTGCACAGATTAAAGGTCACAGTACCATCCATTAATAGTTCCATGCAGAAGTTTCTCCTTCAACCTGCTGGTTCTATTGACTTTGGGCATCTAAAGCTTCAATGAAAGCAGTTGAGGGGCCTCCCTCCACATTGAGGCAGTCTGATGCGTGCCTGCCTACTTCAGTAGCGTCCATTTCTCCCAATGAGGAAGTCAGCCAGATATCACAATATGAGCCCTATTGAAAAGACCAGCACAGTGGCAGGCATCCAGGGAACTAATAAAATAGACAAGCTCATGTCTACCATTTACGCTTGATGTCGGGGTTATTGCCACTGATCATAAAATTTAGCCCTATGTATTTCTAAAGCTTTCTTTCATCTCCTGAACTTATCTTGTTGATTCTGTTGATAAATTAAAAATTGATGATAAATATTTGGATAAACTTAGGGAGGTGATGGCCTGGACAAGTAAACCAGAGACACAGGTCCCATAGCAGATGGTGGAATTTCAATTCAATTTTAAAATATCTGGGATTAAAAGTCTAATCATGGTCTTTGTCAATTGTTGTAAAAACCCATCAGGCTCACTAATATCCTTCAGGGAAGGAAACTGTCATTCTTACCTGGTCTGACGTACATGTGACTCCAGACCCACAGCAATGTGGTTGACTCTTAACTGCCCTCTGAACTGGCCTAGCAAGCCATATAGTTTTGTCAACCTCTAGAAAGGGAAAAATGAATTAAACTGGACCACCTGATATCAACTAAGGCATTGGAAATGACAATGGCAAACGTAGCCCTATCAACCCTGCAAAGTGCTCCTTGCTAACATCTTGGGGTTAGTACCCATCCCTGAATATGTCCTGTCCCACAGGCAGGACAGGCCCAGCAGAGGAGTGGCAGCACAGTGTTATACAGTCTGAAGGGAGTTTTCCTCAGAGTCCTCAACATTGACTCCAAACCCCATGAAGTCTCATTGCATTGTCAAAAATGGACAAGGAAACCTCCTGATGATTACCATGTACTGCCCTCCCTTGACCAATGAATTGGTACTCTCCATGTTGAACAACACTTGGAGGAAACACAGAGGGTGCAGAATGGACGCAGACTACTCTGGATGGGCATCTTCAATGTTCGTCACCAACAATGATTTGGCAGCAGCACTATTGAACAAGCCGGTCGGTTCTTAAAGGCATAGTTGCTAAACTGGGTCTGTAGCAGGTGATGAGGGAACCAACAGGAGGGAGAAACATATTTGACCCCATCCTCAGCAGTTTGTCTATCGCAGATATATCTGTCCATGACAGTGTGGTTAAGAATGACCACCGCACAGCCCTGTGGAGACTGAGTCTCACCTTCACTTTGAGAAGAACCTCCATCGTGTTGCTAAATTGGAAAGTTTTCGAACAGATAGGCCGTAAGATCATAAGAAAAAGGAACTGGAGAAGGCCACTCAGTAGGATTCTGGTTGATCCAACATTCCTCATGTCCCCTCTCCTGCCCTTTCCCCATAATTCTCCATTCACCTACTGATCAACAATCTATTTAGCAATTCAAGACTGTGCATCCATCAGGCATTACAGGCCATTGACGGCAGCAGAATTGTACTTCAGGACTATCTGTAAAATCGTAGCCCAGCATGTGCCCCACTCAACCATTACCATCAAGCTAGGGAAACAACCCTGGTTCAATGGAGAGTGCAGGAGGGCATACCAGGAACAAGCAGCAAGCATACCAAAGGAACATGTGTCAACCTACAATTCAGGACTACTAGCATGCCAAACAGCATAAGCAGCAAGCCATAGACAGAGCACAGTGATTCGGCAACCAATGGATCAGATCAAAGCTGTTCTGCCTCATCTGATTGTGATTGGCAGTAGAAATCAAACCAATTGATCCATCCTTAATGATGGGCTAGCCCACAACATTAGTGCAAAGCTAAGGAGAACCTAGGGAAAACACATATCTTGGAAAGCTTTTCTCATGGCAGTGTGCAGAAGTCCTGGTCAAAGTTAGATATACAAAACTACATCTCCTGGAGAAAGGAGGTAGTTCAGGACAGTTAGAAAATAGATTATATCAGTATATAAGTATTTTACGTTGAAAGTTCCAGACCAGAAGTATTGCATGGAACCCCAAAGAGTTTTTTGAAGCTGAAACCGTCTAAGCTCAGCTGATTGAATACACAAGAAATAGACAAACTCTGAAGGCGGGAAACTTAAGTAAACAGTTAAGTCAAAACTATAAATGGGATAGAGAAGGGTATTCTCTCTGTTGTTTGAGACCTGTAATGTAAGTTCCCTACTAGTCTTGTGTTGGCTGTGGAAACAGGATTGTTCAGCTCTGTTAAAAGAGAATACCAAATAAATCACACTCTATACTCCAAATCTTGCTGGAGAGCTACCATTTATTTTGCTAAATATGATTTGAAAATCTTATGACAAAAGAATAGGATGATAAAATTCGCTATCAAATACAAATAGCATGTGACAATACTAAATCAAATCAGATAGAAATAAAAATTTAAATTTCTCACAAAAAAAACTAGGAGGCACCAAATACTTTGTGTATAATAACTGTAGAACATTTCTATTCTATTAGCCAAAATACTGTTGGGAAAAATAATAATGCATTGCAATGTTATTAACCTCCTGTACAGACAAACAGTTGTCCAGATGCAGATTCAACATTTGTATTTTTTGTTGGTTGTTTTATCCCACATCAATATCTATAGCTGGAATTAAATTTTTTAACATATGGATATCCACAGATACTTACATCATTAAAATGCTGACTAGTCTTCATGATGTACGGTGTCCGTTCATTTTTATCAAGTTTCATCCACCCTTGGCCAAGGAACTCCCTGGAAGAAAGTTTTCAAATTATTGAGATTCTCATGCTATACTTTGGGACTGTATTCCATGGCTCCCCTGCCAGTGTATTGAAGGCAGTGAAACAGCCTTGTGAAATATTATGTGGCCTTCCCCCCAAACCCTGTAACGTCTTCTATTTTCTGGTGAGTGGGGAAGGAATCAGGTGGCTCACTCACCCTGGGGCCTATTAAGGGTCTGTTGTAGCCAATTTAAGGGCCTCATTCTGCCTCCACAGTTATTTTATTTGCAACTGGGGAAGTTTCAGGCAAAGCATATAGCTTTCACTGCACGTTGGGGTGTTGAGTGTTCCCATTGGTCATTACCCCCACTTCACTGGACACCAAATTCACCAGACCCCATCCCCATTGTTGAGGTCTGTCAGCAGCTCCCATTGTTATCATGAACTTGGCTATTGGTTTGGATGCCATAGCCTGTTCTTCATCAGAACTAAGTATAGTCCCAGCAGTCCCAATCAGATTGGGCAGCAGCTCTCTAAGGCAGGACATCACAGATGTCTCCATCTTAAACAATTAATGCTGCTTAAAGAAGCTGCTAAGTATCCAACTCTCAGATGGGCATGCTTCCTTTTCGGTTCAGGTAAATATTCATATAAAGCCCCAAAAGGATTTTGCTAAACAGCACTATGTCTTCATTAGATAGATGTGATGCCTAAAAAAACTGGATTAACCCTTTCACAATCAAGTGAAGGATGGATTTTGTCAAGGTACAAGAGAGCAAAGATATTACTGGTATTTATCAGCAGGCAGAGTGTATCAGTGCTGTCAAATGCTAGATACTACCAACATATCACCTAATGTACAAGTGAAAAGGTAATTTTTAAAATATAAACGTAAACAAATTATGGTAAAAATTGACTCAGAAAATGTTGTACTCCAGCTTAGTTTGAAACAGTCATATGATCTAGCCCCTTCCTCACAGTCCTACAAGGATAAAAGTTCCCATATAAAATGCAGTGTGTAGAGATTTTCGCTGTATGGCTGCTGACCCTCAATGGTGCACTTTTAAGTAATTTACTAAAAGGGAGGGAAATCCCAAAAGCATTTTTAGGTCAGTTAATCTTCCTCAAGTAGTGAGCATCAGTTCACATTCTGTTTCGAAGTTGTCAGCGTATGTTCAGAAAGTTTGCACCCAGATTGTTAACACCAAAAAATACCTTTTCCAAGACAAATTCAAACTCACTCATATGGTATGCTTCTGAAAACAATATGATCAAGGAGCGTTAACTGCTCAGCTATTTCCATGACTGATAGCGTCTCAAAGGTTTCCATTCTGGGGCCATCTGTCTGTGAAGAATCATATTATGAGGCTGATTAGTACAACAAAGGAAATGGAGCTTCACCTGGGTTAAATTACAGGACTTTTCATTTCGAGGTTTTGCTCAGTGGGAATATTTACTAGAAATTGTGTCAATAAAATTAGTGCAAATAAGAAAATATCCAGAAACTTAATTCACGAAGTAGTCATTAACAATCATTGTAGATTTTCTTCTGAGAGTGTAGTAAGAAATAGCAATAAGAATATCATTCATTCTGTAGCTTTTTGCTCAGTAGTAACCTGAGTCTGTTTCTTTTGCTTACTTCCATTGAATAATGCTGTAGTTGTACTTGAAATGAAGAAACACAAATGCTTTCTAATACAGTAAGAGGCTAAAAAAAAAAGTATGTTCATGACTAATGCTGTAATTTTGTAATTAGGAAATTCTTCCTCTCTATTTTGGATTGTTGTTAGATTTATCAAAATACTGGCAGAGCCAATGGTGACCTAAGTTATGGATTGAAGTGGTCTAGATGCATCAGCGTTGAACAAGGCAGGAAGAACTCCGAGATCCTGGAAACAATCAGTGTGAAAGGAAGAGTGCCAATCTTTCCCTTTCAGCAGTGCACTAATAACACATAAATGCTTCAAGATTCAGTAAAGTTCAATTGCTAATTGTTAATCAAGTGGTGACAATTAAGGGTGTAGATAATCAGGGGATTGGTATAGGGCCATACTATTTAGGAATTAAACTAATTCTGCCATAACTTTACAGGCAACAGATGGAAAAGACCTACATGCTAAGAGGCTGGACAGCATTTATACCTAGAGCTGGAATCGATGCAACTTGTGATGTCTGCGAACAGACAATTGGTTCTGATTTGTGAGGGAGACCGTGTATCCGTCTCCCAGGGGAATGGACAAAATTCCTCCACCGATTAAACCAGTGGAAGAAAAGGCCTGAGACAGGATTCAACACTACCAGTGGAGAAATGTCAATTAGAGTCATTAATGAGTCAGTCGACATGCCCAATCTAACATAGCTTTCCTGCACCTCCCAAAGGCAGCCCAGAAGATCCTGTCGAGTTTGTCAGCAGTTTTGGGAATGGGCAGGTGGAGGAAGAATGAGAGATAGGAAGGGGCCAGGTATCCTCATTCTCAAGGCATCTGGCATCAGGCAAAGATAATGCTAAAAACCACCACTCTACACTTGCCTCAAAAACTTAAGTCCACTCCTTCCCACTCTCTCCCACCCAGCAACTATGCATCTTTCACTCCAAGATATCCATCTGCCTTCACTCACCCTCAGGCAGGTGTCTCATGATGATCTTGCCGCTAGTAGTGCTGGCCCCTGACCTGTTGTCAGTTCTCAGCAGGCAGAACTTGCACAAATGGAGTCCTCAATTGTGGAAAGGCCTGACGGTGGCATCTTAAGTGCCTGAAGGATATTTGATTCTGTCAGGTCTCCCTCTTGGAACTGATGGGGTTTTCCCACTGATTCCTTGACTGATGGGTGAGACCCCTTGTCAGATTGGAAAAATCCTATTCTAAATCTTAGTGTGAAAGGCTGGTTCCTAAATCAATGTGTAATCTATTTTCACTAAAATTGCTGTTAACAAAACCTTCTATATGTTGGTTCTTGAATATCAATCTGTTTAAAAATTACAACTTCAATTAACTTTACTTAAATGTATCAAAGCTATATTATTAATCAATCTTAAGGACTGTAACTTTGCCGAGTGTGTTCCAAGTTAAAAGCCATGCAAAAGAAAAGTCATCTAAAGGAAAGAAAAATTAATATCATAAAAATAAATAGCACACAAGCAAGTGTATGGAGAAGTTAGTTTATTTTTAATAATTTATTGATACGTATGGCTGCCTTATTATTTTTTATACTAAATTGAATCCAAGAACTAGTTCATTAATTCAGATACCATGTGGGTTCATCTGAGAATTGACATACTCACCATCTGAATTAAAACTTCCATCCGCAGCTGAGGATCATCCAACTCGTCTTGTGAAAGCACACTGACAGAGAGTTCAATGTAGATTAGAAAGACATACACTGTGGAGACAGATTTAACTCAACCAAATCACTGTACTACTAATACATTTTGAGTCATTGTTGTATAAAACAGATTAATTAACTTGCAGTTTTTTGAGGGGCTGCTGGTAGGCATTTGATATATGCAAATAAACTATTTTGCTGCAATTTTTGTAGACAGGTTTTTGCAAACAGTTTTGACTCTCTATCAGACTCAGTTTGACTAAGTTCTGGCTGTATTGGACTGATATTACCATGTTGCAGTCACGTTATTTTGTCTAATGCATTGACACAGAAGTAACAGTGTACCTTATGAGATAACCTCAGTCATGACTTCTGAAAACAAAAGGCTTCCAACAGCCTACCCACATGGCTTAGTCTTTGTAAGAACAATAATTTACAGAGAACAGTTAACACAATAAAACATCTCAAAGTGCTTCACAGGAGCATTATAAAACAAAATTTTTCACCGAGCAATAAAAGGAGATATTAGGACAGATGGCCAACAAATTTGGTCAATGAGGCAGATTTTGAGGAACATCATGAAGGAAGAAAGAGAGGTGGAAAGGAGTCCAACAGGAATTTTAAGTGTTTTAAGAACTGATGTAATGAAGGTTAATTGTGGAGCAAGAAATGCTGAAGAAGCTGGAATTAGAAATGTAAAACTTTTTAGAGCATTGTGGGGCTGAAAAGATGCAGAAATGGGGAGGGTTGAGGCCATGCAAGAATTTGAAAACAAAGATAAGAATTCTATAATCAAAGCTTTGCTTACTCAAGAGCCAATATAATTCAGTGAGCACTGATGTAATGGCTGAACAAGACTTAGGGAAAGTCAGAAAATGAGCAGCAGAATTGCAGATGACTTCAAGTTTATGGAGGTTAAAGTGTGGATAGCTATCCAGCCATGGTAACAAATGCATGGCTGAGGGTTTCAGCAAGTGTTTCCATACCTGTGTCAGGGATAGAATCTGCTGACAGGGGTAAAAATAAGCAATACATTGATATTTGCCAAAGGAAGGGATGGAGTTGGTGGCTAGGGAGTGGGGTTTGTAGTGGAGATTAATTTTTAGTCTTCCTAATAGTTAAAAGGAGAAACTTCCTGCTTATAAGTGACTGAACGGTGATGGAAACTGATCTCATGGAGTAAAAATAAGGTGAACCATTGTCTAACATTAACATTTAATATGGTATATTCTTAATGTCATTTATGACTTCGACAATTGGGCTGAAATTGCAGATAGCTTCTTCCCAGAGCTATTATATATTTGCTTAAATGTACTCAGCTTTAAGAAACCTCTTCAAGGTTTTAGACCATTGCTGGGACTGGCAATAACTCTTCATGCTCAATTCATTAAATATCCCTCCCTCCTCAGGAGCACTGATCTACACATCCACTTCTAATCCAACAACTTCCCAAACTGTCTCACTCAAAGAAAAAAAACTAAAACCCAAAAGTCTCCCTCTCTAAGCTGTGGTTATTTCCCTTTAGCTAAATAAAAACAAGTTCTAGAAGTCTCTGAAAAACTTGAGACTCCAATATTTACCTTGCTCAGTCACATGACAATCCACAATAACAAAAATCCATTGCTGCTGCACAAAACCTACTCACTCTAAAGACAAGCCTTAAAAACTTTTACAAATGCAGATTACAATTGACCAGGACCTGTATTGGACCAGCCATATTAATACTATAGCTACAAAAGCAGGACTGAGGCTGGAAATTCTGCAGCAAGTAACTCACCTCCTATGTTCCCAAAGTCAACCCATTATCTACAAGGCACAAATCATGAGTGTGATGGAATACAGTTTACTTGACTGGCTGAATGCAAGTCCAAGAACACTCAAGAAGCTTGACACCACCCAGGCCTAAGCAGTCCACTTGACTGGCAACCCATCAAACAGCTTCAATCTGTATTCGCTTCAGTGACAATGCCACTGACATCATCCCCTCTGGAGATCTCCCACCACAACTTCCCACCTCATAGTAAATGGGTAAACACATGGCAGAAGCAGTCCAACAGGACTAAATGTGAAAAACAGAGAGGCAGAGTACTATTTAAATGGTGTTATATTGGGAAATGTGAATGCAGACGGGTTCTAGATGTCCTTGTACACCAATCAATGCAAGTAGACAAGCACGCTAACCGCCTGCCCTGTAGTTCTTGTCTCACCCACTCCTCTAGGTGCTGCTAACTCCAATCTCAGAGTCCTTCTCTCACCTGCTCCACTACATGCTGCTGACTTCTTGTCTTAGAGTCTTCTCTCACCTACTCCTCTCCTCTTGTCGTTTACAATTATTTTAATTTGCACCTATTTGTTATGCTCTCATTATCCTGAAACAACCAGCCATCATTTATCTCAAATTTATAAAATCATGAATGCATCTATCAAATTGCTACTGAACCTTCTCTGTCTTATAAATGTTCTCATTTGTCCACTCTCATTTTATCGTAATAACCTCTGCCTAGTAACAAGCCAGCTAACCTACATTGCATCTTTCCTATTGTTTATTCTTTCTACAGTGTTCATTGAGGTGGGTCGGGGGGGTGGGCAGGGGAAGCTGCTGGAATTTTGAACAAAATTCATGTAGTTGCTTAATTCGGATCTAATACTTAATATGATCTACTGGATTTTGCATTCCATACTTCAAAACAAAAACTTTTTTTAAAGCAGTAAAATCCTGCAATGCACTTAGAAAATTCTGTCATCCTATGAATTTAGGTAAGTTTTGAAGAGGTGGTAAACATAGCCTGCAACAATAAACTTTTGGCACAATCTTAAGATATCACCTTAAAATGTTGGCTGTTGCTTTCCTTTCTTGGGGCAGGAGATCATGGTCACGCATCACTTCCTCTAATAAATTTACAATGTTGGCTTTCAGTTCACTGTTCATCTCGAAATCCTAAACAATGAGAAAATAATGAACTTATTACTATTCACAGGTAAGTGTCCATATCATGCTAGTAAATTTGCATATAAAAAAAATTTGATATTTTTATTGGTCTAAACATTTACTCACAGTCAATTACTTCTAACAGTGTTGAAGAGAAAGGATCAAATTTATTTAAGTATTAAGATAAAACCTGTGCAGCCCAATATTAAGAAAATTACTTCCTCACAGGCCAGTGCATGTCTAATAACATGACCATATTGCAAGAACAATCAAATTGAACCTTGTCAACACTTCCAACATCTAAAACCATTTCTCACCTTGTTAAAAAACAAATATAGAACAAGAAAATGTCACACATTTACGTATCTTGATCCTTGTAATGTTATACACATTCTGGACGTTAGATTCAGCTTTACACATTAATCCTTCTGAGTAAAAACCCTGCAAAATTCCTCCATGATCACCAAAATTTCAGGATTTCCAAATACACTATTTCCCTTCTATTCAAATACCTCATGTTGTTTAATCAGTTGTGCATTGCCAGTCTTTATTTCACTTGAGATTTCCAGAATTCCCCGGTTTTTTTTCCTTTTATCTCCACTGCTTTGCTTCAATGAATTACAATTCACTGATGTTTCCTTGGTCAGAGCAGCACAAGAACAATTATATTCTACTTCAAAATGCCAGTTCATATTCAGTGGCATAGACAAATGATGTTTTGTGCCAACAGCACTGGCTGGCTATTTTCTATATAATGGAGTGTTAAGATCTGAAGCATACAAACTTCTCTGCAGTACTCAATGGCCTGATCCAAATGTGTTTAAAGCAATTTTAGCTGATCTAGCAGTAAATTGCTTAAGGCTCCTGCTACACTGAAATAGTTTTCCATTAGTTAAGCGAACATGCAATTAGATTTCACAAGAACAAACCCTTCTCTTCCACTGAATCCTTGCATTACAAGAATAGCTCTATCCGTGACCATATAAGTTACAAATGCAATGAACATTTGTGTAGATCGTCTTTCTAAGCAAGGCTGGGAAATCACTTTCACATTTCCCAACCTTAGTTCAACACTAATGAAATTAGTTGAAGTGCAACAAGCAACCAAAAAGACTGCTGTTCCACGTACATGAATGTTCATTAACTGGCCATGTGCATTTTTGAACCTCCAGTGGACAAGGTTGCAAATGGTACTGAATAACCACAAATAATATTCAACTGCTATGTCATTGATCTTCTCCACCCATGCTCCACACCCCTCATCATGAGGTCAGAAGTGGGCACATGGCTGATTATTGCCCAGTTGTGAAAACTATACACAAATCCTCAGATACTTAAGCAGCCGTGTTCAAATGCAGCAAGATCTGGACAAAGCCAGACTTGTGTTAATAAAAGGAAAGCAACATTCACATCACGCAAGTGCTTGGCTATGAAAATCTTCAACAAAAGTTGAACCTAACCAATTGGCTTAGCTGTCAATGGCATTACCATTACTGAATCCCCACAATAGACATCCTAGACCATTGACCAGAAGCTGAACCTGACTATTCATATTGCTATTGTGGCTACATCAGTATAGTCAACTAAGAAGTAGAAGGACTGGTGGTCAACCTGAGTGGAATTCAGGACATAAACAAGGATAAAGGATGTCATGAAAAGGCTTCAGGGTGCTCTGAAGGAGGGGGTGAAAAGCCTGAGGTCATAGTCCATGTTGGGACAGATGATATAAGAAGAAACACAAATGAGATCCTGCAAATAGACTTTAGGGAGTTAGGTAGGAAATTGAAAAGCAGGACTTTGAAGGTAGTAATTTTCTGATGCCACTGAGTAATGAGTAAAGGAAGAAAAGGATAGAGTAGTTGGAGAAATGGTGCAAGAGGGAGGGCTTTAGATTCCTAAGAGTCATAGGTAGTGTGGGTACGAAGGCACCTTTTTTCAGTGGTAGAGGGATCTATAGCCAAGCTATTAGATTTCAAGTGAGAGATGGAAGGCTAAGAGGAGAGTTGAGGAGAAATATTTTCATCCAGAGGGTGCTGAGAGACTGGAACTGACTGCCTGAAAGGGTTGTTGATTCAGAAACTCTTGTAACATTTAAGCAGCATTTATATATGCAGTTGCATTGCGAAAGCCTCCAGGGCTATGGGCCAAAAGCTGGAAAATCTGATTAGTGTAGCCAGGTCTTTGTTGACCAGTGCACACACACACAATGGGTCAAATGGCCTCTTTCTATACTGTAAATATCAATCAAAGTTTTTTATTGTAATGAATTAGCTCTTTAATTAAGTTTAGGAAACGGGCTGTCTTGTTTCTCATCTGAGCAATATATATAATCTAATATGTTTGGCAATAACATGTTCCTTTTCAAATTCAAACTTTGTGATGGCCAATGGAAGAGTGGGACAAAGAAAGAAATCCATATTTCCTAAGTCGGTCATGACAACATCTGCAAATTATATTGAATGCTCTTACATTCTGTAGTGAATGTAGAATTTAAATTTATAGTAAAAACAACTTAATTGTGGTCATTCATATGAAATATGGTGAATTATCAATGGCTAAGAGAAGGGTAAATTTTACAGTTCTGAAGAATGGTTACTGGACTTGAAATGTTAACTTTGTTTTCTCTCCACAGATGCTGCCAGACCCTGCTGAGTTTCTCCAACAATTTCTGTTTCTTTTCAGCATTTGTAGTTCTTTGGTTTATATTATTGTGTCAAGTTTCGCAAATCTGTTTTCCCAGTTAATACTCCCAACAGTTAGAACACCTGTCACAAGTTCAACTGTGTGCTACATATGATTTACCACCCATTCAACTGAATGCATGCTGACATTTTCAATCAATTTCTGACATTCGTTGGCCCTACTGTTGGCTTGTTAAAAAAAACCACAAAGTGCCTCTGGAATTACAGTGTCTCAGAAATTTAATTTCATTGAAATCGATTTTTTCAGTTTAATGCTCTGTGTGATAGGGAAATTTATATAACAAAAACTCACATATTAAATCAACCATAATAACCTTTGCCCAGAGGCAAGACTTTAGCTAATAATCAGGAACATACTTATCTTCATTAGACTGAATGGGACAAAGCAGAATTCAATTTTCTGTCCTAGGTTTTATTTTTTCACATACTGTCAACTACAAATACGGTTAAATTACACCTTGAGACAATAATAACAAGCATATTAATGAAATTAATCTGCTTTCCTAACAAAACCCATCTAATATCATTAAGTACAATTCCACCACCTGAAGGGAAGTCCTAGAGGATTTATCAATGGTGTATAAACATTGGAACAATATCCACAGACTACCCTGTGTACACTGAGCACAGTCCTCTACAGAAACTCCTGACATGTTGCTGTCAGAAAATCTCCAGAATGCATGTGGCAAAATAACAGTTGTTTTAAAATGAACACAAGATTATCAAAATTCCAGGCGTGCTTTAACACATTTGAAAGCAGTGGCACAACTATGGTGTAATTGTCACCATTCACTCAGGTTCCTGTGACACTTTAGAAATGGGAATGTGCAGATGCACACTGTTTGTATGTGTTATTTTTATATATGAAAATGAATGCATGTCAAAAATACAATTGTTTTGGGATATTTTGGTTGCATATTCATGAACTATATCTATAAAAGGCTATACATACTATCAGTCCATCTTCCTGTCTCTATCCAGTTGTATAATGAATTTCTATCAGTCATTCAAATCTACCTGTAGTGTTTAGTGATTTAGCCATCAGGCTGTTGTCTGCCACTGTAAATGCTGTAATCTTATAAAATCAGAGTGTTCTGCTTCCGAACTGTGTTCACAATAAGTAAAAATAACTGCTATCGCTGGACCAGACACAGTTTCTTATCCAGTTAACAGATCTCAACCAGGTCAACAGTAAAGGTTACTTAATTGACCGCAGTGCTCTGAGGTTAGAGAGGAGAAAAATATCCAAAGCAAAGAGCTCCTCTTTGCACTGACTATTGTGATATGTTAAACACACACAAACAATATTTCCAATGCTGTGACACCACATGCACAGAAGCAATCTGCAAAGATCAGGTCTAGAATGAAACTCTAATCCAAATTGCTCTTCTGATGTTGTCCCTCAGTCCTTTTAGTCTGCATTCATCATCTCTCTTTTCAAAATAAAAACAATCCTTGGTCCAATGTCTTTGAAAACTATGACCCTATCTCCAGAATTATTTCTTTTCCATTCCTTATCTCCTGAATCCATGTCTACCTTTTTCAGAACTCCATGTTTGAGTCCCTCCAATCAAGTTTCCACTGTTGCCACAGTACAGTTCTTATCAAAGATATAAATGACATTCTATGTGACTGTCAAAGAGGTAAACTATCTCTCCTCAGCCTTATATATATTCTCCTTCTTCTCCTTGTACACCTCTCCACTGTCAGCAGCTGGGTCAGACAGCTGCAAGCTAATTTTATTCTCATCTGCCTAATTGTAGCAAAAATATCACTTGAACTGGCTACCCTTCCAGATCCAGCATTGCTGGGTAAATTTTACAGGATTTGGAGGGTGGGAATATTCCCCCGGTGGAAAAGATAAAGACAATCAACTTTTTACAAAAAGACTATGTTAGATTAGGGGTGACTTTAACAAGGCACATGTGGGACTTCTGCCCCTCCAGAAACGAGAAGTACCACCCCAAAAGGTAAGAACATGGATACTGGAGTGTACCTTCGAAGGAGGTAAACTCCCTTCCTTCCTGCCTTCTCACCCGAGGCAGTGAAAAACTAAGCTGGCCACTTTCTTCTTCTTTCCTCCACCCAATGTATTATGGCAGCAGAGGCAACGTTAGGCCCTTAACTACCCATTAATTGGCCTGGGAAAGGTATTAACAGGCCTAAGGGTGGGTGGGCTGACTGATGTTTTACCTGCCCATCAAATTAGGGAATAGCCAGATAAAGGCATTAAAGCAGGAGGTTAGCCATTTTATATGCACACCCAACCTTACCCTGCTGGGATGTTTGCATGATGGTTTTGTACGC